CGTCTTTGCATTCTGCCCAAATTATAATCGGCCAAAGACTAAATTCCAAACATGAGATTCATTTTGTGTCTGATATATATAAGGAAAGGCTTATTATTCAATTATTATACTATGAACTATTATTTATATAATTATGTTTAGCGAAAAATGTTCCCCTACCCACGGTGAACACATGTTAATATGCCCACCGCTTATGCGACATGCACACATTGGTGATGTTAATATGTTTAAAAAAATACATCACCAATGTGTGCATGCCACATAAGCGGTGAACATATTAACATGTGCACACCGTGGATATTGAAGCATTACTCTATGTTTAGCTACTTCTTTTCACCAACTAGTGTGGTACCCGTGTGTTTCACGGACTAATTTTATTAAGATAAACATCTAGATTTGGATGATTTGAAGGACGTAAAACGCATGCATTGAAATTAAACAAAATATAATTTATATATTGTTAAACACACCATTGTACACAAAATTATTTGTTTGGTCTCTTGATACATTGTCCATCTTCACAAATTATATTAGGATCCTAGATAAACATAAATAAATCAATTAAATTATTTATCAGAATATATATGATATGATTTATACTGTTTTTATGAAGATTGCATAGTCAAACATAACGGAGATTGTAAAACGTCTTCCTTGATAATATATAGCCTTATTATTTTTATGATGTTCCAATCCGATTTTAATTTAATTTCAAATTAATATTACTTGACTTTGTTTTATGTTTTAAAAAAACCGAATTAAAGAAAGTAGTAGCCAAATGATAAAAGATTTTTCAATTCTAATTTTCAATTTGAAATTGGGCATCATTACTATGCAATCCGATTTTTTTAATAAACATGATATCTTGCAATTAGGTAAAGACACATGTTATGATATTTTGCCTAATTCGAAATTTCTGATTTGATGGTAAACAAAATATTTAATAAAAAAATGAGAGAATTTGACTTTTACAAAATTTTCGTGCCGAATTTTACCTAAAATAACCCGATTTCTATGCAATCTGATTTTTTTAGTAAACAATTGATTTGTTGCAATTAGGAAAGATATATGTGGTAGTATTTTGCCTAATTCGAGAATCTCGATTTTATGGTAATCATTTTTTTTTAATTATAAAAAATGAGAAAGATTTTTTTACTTTTGCAAAATTGTAAGCATCAGTCGAAATTTACCTAAATTAAATCCACAAAACCCATGAATTTATGGTGCATATATGGCTGATCATTTTTTGGGAATAATTTATAAATAATTCAAAAACTATCAGAAATAGAATGTAATAAATGCTAGCTGACTTTTTTTATTACTATTTTTGGTAAATAGATTCTCTCTTTCTATATATATAGGCTTTCCATTTCAATTAATTATAATTTATTATGCCAAAAACATTATCAAAATTCTCATATATACCAACAACATTATGCTTTACCACTCTCTGGAAATTAAGCACACACACCCCACAAATAAATAATAAGCATCTGTCTAACTGGAATAAAATAATTAAAATTAGAAAAAAATAAAAAATTGTACATATGTGATTGCTAAAATTATTTGTAATGGGTAGGTCTTAGCTAAAGAGACAAATTAGATATATATATATATGTATAAATATTTTATTAATTATTAGTGAAAAGATAATCACCGTTTGGGATTTGCCTACCGTGAAATGATGTTCAGTGGACCTTCGTCTTCATAATAATTTTCCAACCAGAGCATGATTAATAAGCATAAATATAAATGTACATTAAATATATATAGGCGTCTATTTAAATAAGTTATGTTCACAGACTCGATCCGTTTAAATCCAAAAGACAATAGTGTTATTATCATCTATTTTTCAACTCTTTCAATCAAAGTTTTTTTAGCTAGAACATATTAAATATGAGCATGTTAGAGCTAACTTGTAAAATATTTAATATTTTATTATCCCACTAACACATTTATATTAAAATAAATTTGATTTTAGTATATATTTAATCCTTGATATAAGATAAAATAACAGTTTTACTTATTATTGGTCACCATATAATGCTTAATTATTATTTTATTAACTTTGTTGTCATTGTCATTTTTATTTATAAAAATTTATAGAGTTGTACGTCTTATTTTTTTTTTTTATTTTATGTAATGAGAGAATATTTAATACACGGTAGAATTATTTATTTATGTAATCAATTTAGAATATGTAAATAAATTTAAAATTAAATAGTGTATAAATTTTTTACAAAATATACACACATATTTTATATAGTATTTAATTTTGTATACTTATTAAGCAACTTTTATTAGCAAATTTAGAAAACTCATTACCTTCTCTAATCATAATTTTTCCAATTTGCATTATAAGGATTTATAGTTTAGTTAACATACTCTGCAATGACATATATTTTACAATAAGTTATTTATAGATAGAAATAAAAAAAAATTCATGGTTTCCAATAACAAATAAATTCTAAAGAACATTTAGTATATTTCAAATTTAATTTTTGACAATCTTTTTTAAATTATTTAATGTACCTGATCACCATTTCTTAAATGATAAATTATATTAATTTGAAGAATAATTTATTTTTTATATATAACAAAATAAAGCTTAAAAAAATTATATTGGCAAAGCTTAATATTTCACCAATTTGATTTCACCAATTATATTGGCAAAAATTAATTCACCAATTTTACCTAATATATGGTTAGAACTTAAAACATGTTGTAATATTTATTGTGACCAAAATATTATCAACATGAATCACAGAAAATCAATCTTGTAATTTATTATAATGGATATCAATGAAATTATTGCAGGTACAAAATAAATTAAAGTAACAATATTTTAGTTATTTCTAATCTGGTCATATATGAAAACGTGTATATGAAGCAATTAATGCATATATTTAAAAAAAAGTTTCTAAGAATGATATACATTAAATGCTTCCAAAATTTTTTACTACTATTTTTATTAAATGATTATTCTTTTAAATAGACTACAACGTAGAAGAACCACAAATTGGAATGCATATTTTAAAAAATATGTAAAATAATATAACATTTTATATATAATATAGAGTGTTATATTGTTACTAAAATAAGTACACGTTGTTGGTGAAAAAGTATGTTGGGTCCAATTTTATTTATGGAAAAATTCAAGACGCAAGCTTTTGAAAGGTAAGTGATGAATATTTAATTTTAAATGTATTTTCTAGAACAAAAAAAAAAAAGCTATGTATTAAAACATCAATTGGAACAGTACTATATATATGTGCCACATAAAATTGTCTGTACATGTCAAAATTGTTGGGTCTTTAAACATATAATGCTGATGAGTAAGTGTAAAGTGCAATTGCCCCTATGCTTAAAACAAAAAATTGATGCATTTAATCATTCAATAAAAGTGCAACAATATGATCTTCTAGTAATAAGACAAAGGAACAATGTAGATCTTCAATTTTTCTTGAAAGGAAAAATTAATATGCAAAAAATACAAATTAATTGTTTTACTTTTTCAAAATTTTAGGAAAATTAAATATGCATCATCACAAATTCTTGTATGAGGCAATCTAACAGTCAGACATGTCGGTCGATCAGTCGTAAGTTAACCTTTTAACAAAAATGCATACTTATACTATGAAACGTCGTACTTTTGTTTATGTTGTCTTTTAGAATATGATATTTCAATTTGAAAGTATGATTGTCTGACCGTTCGACTAAACTTACAACAATCTTATTGCTGAAATTCTTGTATGAGGCAATCTAACAGTCAAACATGTCGGTCGATCAGTCATAAGTTAACCGTTTAACAAAAATGCATACTTATACTATGAAATGCCGTACTTTTATTTAATTTGTCTTTTAGAATATGATATTTCAGTTTGAAAATATAATTGTCTGACCGTTCGACTAAACTTACAACAATTTTATTGATGAATAAAATTGAGTCCCATAACTTATAGGGAAGCTATATAAAAATAAAACATTTTTATTATTATTATCATTTTTTTTTTT